AATAAATCACAATTCTATTATTTGTTCCTTGATATTGTAGAGGACTATTTCAGACATGTATTTCAGAGACAGATGTGCAAGGGAGGACTTAATCTGAGCAAACGTCAGTGTCAGTAACAGTGTCAAAAAGTGAAACACATTCCCCGGCCATGTTTCAGCTGGTACTTTTAGGTCTGTTTCAAAGTGACCTTGAACATGCATCATCTTTTTTAGTAGTTTAGTAGATATCAGCAAACTTGGTGAATGTATGTTTGTGCTTAAAAAAAATGTCTTTGTAATGTTTAAACATTGCCTATGTCTGTCTTGCTGCTTGTGTAGAGGTTTAATTCCCTTTTTTACCAAAGTGTTGTCATTCTGTCGCGTTAGATAGTAAAGGTTAAAAATCTTTATCAAGAATCTCACACATAAAACTAGTGATAAGGTTTAATGTGGTACCTGCAGTCTGTTTCAGCAGAAAATATAGCATCCTGCAGGAAAGTCAATATGAACATTGTCCAAGCTGTGTGTGCCAACATTCATCAATGTGATCAAATTTAAAGCTGTTTGAATAAAAAACATTCGTAATGTTAACTATCATATGTGAGTGAAAGTCCTGCACCGTCAGTCAAATTCAAACTTTCAGGTATATTTTGTGTCAAAGAATTTTTAATGTCTTACATCACTAACCTAGCCTCCATTCCAAATACAAGCAGTCCCCTGGCTCCTGTGTTTTGGTACCAGTCTCAGTCTGGACTCCCCTGGGGTTGAGCGTACAAGTTGGTGACCTGCTATGTGCTAATGATGTCAGTGGGACACAGAGGCCTCTGTGCAGCTGCAGCACACTGGCCTGTTGTGATGGTGCTGGTCAAACAGAAGCCCTGTATGCCTCCACATAAGTGGCACGTGTGTTCTCTCACTCTGCAGCTAAATATAGCAACAACAATACCAGTGGGAAACATCTGTTTCGACAAAAAATTAACCTCAAATGATATCAGTTTACAGCTTCTGAATGACCCTCAGAGAAATGTGGTTTTATTCTGATAGCAGAAAGGTGAGGCACTAAAGCGGACCTATTATTCCCCCATTTACGTTATTTTAAAAATATATATATATTTTTTTAAATCTTTTTGGGTTCATGGTTAGGAGCTGCTCGAGAGAGTTTAAAACTACATGTGTGATAGTTTTTTAACCAAGATTGCAAAGCACAGAGCTTTGCGATTTTAACAAGGTGGGATTCATCTGTGTGTTTTCCTATAAATACAGTAAGGTTGTACCTGGTGATTTTACCTGCCTTTTGATAGACCCAAAACAAGAGATCAAATATTTTGACCCCAAACTCCTCTTCAGAGGAGGACCATTGGAAGGACCCCTGCATGAATACATTGTTTTTAAATCTTCATGCTCAAATCCCTATTTGCATAAAACTGTGTATCCCTTTAGTCTCTTTTTCATCATCACTGAGCTGTTGTTGAAGGTCCTGATAGAGTGAAGAAAACGGTATATTCTCAGAGTCAGAAAACACAGACTGACTGCTAATGCCAAGCAGTTAATTGAGCTACAGATGACCTGAGGCACACAGAGGTCACTGTAATGAATGTTGTAATGAACGTAATGAAGGAAACTAGATTTAATCATGTTTTAAGCTTACAGCTTCAAAAGTCACAGACATATCCTTTCACATACACATTGACAGATGGGACCGTGGCACTTAGTTTGATGTAAAATCCTATTTAACGTGTGTAGAACACGTGCTGCATCTTTAATAGTCATGTTCATAAATAAGTACAAGTTCTTCTGCTGAATTTTCTTTCACAGCTCCTTTTTTCAGACAGCAGGATATATTTACTCGGGGCCTTCCCCGGCCTCTCAAGCGTCTTGTTATCTCTGTTTGGTGTGTTCTGCCAAGAGGGTGAGAGCTGGATGCTGTATGGGCGTCTTGTTCCATATGTTTGCTTTTCACCACTGGGGTGGGGAGAAGATGGATGAGTCTTTCAACTGTGATCACTCTGGTTTTTGCAACCATTAGCTACCAAGCGGGCAAACACCCCCTGTGATCCCTCTTCATCTCAAATAGACTAGAAAATCTAAGATAGTGAAGCTGTCAGGAGTGACCACTTCTATATTCAGTCTGACCATGATGGACAACCTGGTTCAAACCCAAGAGTCTTGGTGCCTCTTAGCATTGGCCTGCCTCTTAGCTGTCCATGGACACACACACACACACACACACACACACATTCACACACACACTCACACACACACACACACACTCACGCACACTCACGCACACTCACACACACACACACACACACGCACACACACACACACACACACACAAATGAGGCAGTGTTCCTTCATCTGTCAGAGCTCATTTGTGCGAGTACTTTGCCAGACACACAATCTTTGGACAACATGGGGAAACAGTGTGGAAGTAAACATGCCTGCTTACATGTAAACTCATCAGCACTGGCAGCTTGTTCCAGGTCATTCTGCCTCATTTTCAGAGCTGAGATGGAGGAAAATGCTTTGCAATGGTGCAGAGAGTTGTTGGGGTTGAGTTTGCCGACTGTATACGTTTGCGTCATGGTTCCCAGACCTCGGCGCTGCACACGTCATCAACTTTAAAAGCTGGAATATTTCCTTTGAACAGTCATGGGAATCTTAATATTCACAATCCTCTTTCTGATTATACTTACCCTGCTAAGCTTGTTTTTGTGCACAACAGCCAAACATAAAACATTTGAGCCTCTTGATTAGAGCTGAACGCTCCATCAGCATGATTAAACAGAGCAGAACATGTGGTTGTACTCTGAAGGACCGTTAATCATGCTGATCAATTTCAATAAATAGCCCTCTCTACTTAGGACTCTTCAAACACCAAAATAAAGAAACTAAAAGTTGCAACATACAGACAGCTTTAAATATAAATATGTGGGAGAAAGACTCAAAAACAGGTTTCAAAGTATCTGAGAGCACTGTCATTTTAAACCCCCTAATTAAATCCAGGATTAGAGGTTATAGAGGCTGCTGAAGGTTGTGTCTGACAACTTCCATTTTAGGCCTCCAGACCCGTGTCTGCAAAGCTAAGTGAAAAATAAAAATAAAGAGCTCTCTTCACCTTCTTTACAGCAGAGCTGGCTCTTGATTCAGAAGAAATTGGGATTGAACTCTCCTGTGAAATACGTAAATGGAGGACTCTTTTTGTTTTGTAGCATCTAAGTAAAATAACAATTACTACAGACAGCAACAGAAAGAAGTCAAAACAGCCTCAACCAGAATTAAATATTATACAGTAATGATACACATTAGATGTTTTAGGTCAGTAAAGCCCACAAAATAATGAAATAGCTGATTATATAATAATAATAATAATAATGATAATATAAAATAAATGTATTCTTTGTTGTATCCTATTGTATTTTACAGGCCATCAAGATTTGTTTTGATGCTGTACTGGATAGCCAAGAAGGATTTCTTGCAGCAGCCACTTGTCCAAAGTTCAAACTTCAATGGCTGAGAGATAAGAGTAGGAGAGAGCATGTGAAGGAGCTTCTGACAACACAGTGCCCAAAAGCTGCTCCTGCAGCTTACAATGCCAATGTGTCCCGACTGGCAGCCATCCCAGCTGAAACAAACTTTTTTGATTTGGAAAACCAGCCCACACAAAGCCTTTTAGCAAAAGAAGAAGTAACTGGCTGAAACTGACTGAAGCGGAACAGACTGTCTGATCTGGGGTTTGAGAAGCTTCTGCTGCTGCGATATAACCTCTGTTTCACTCTGACACAGGGCCTCATCAGGGTAGCCATAAAATGAGACTGGACTAACAGCCTCGATGTGGCATGGAACAGTGTTTTCTGCTTTGGTGAATTCATCATTACTCCTCTCTGCCTTTTACAAACTGTTAAAAGATGTAAATGTTTACCAAATGGAACACAGTCAGGACAAACTAAAAATTTTAATTATTTCATTGCTGTATTTTATTTATGTCTATTTGAATGAAGGTGTATACACATAAAAAAGATTTGTGTCTTTATGAAGGGATATGCTGTAATATAAGTTAACAGATGAAAGACTTACTTTGTTTTATTAAAATATGGTGGACTGTGCTAATATGTTTATATATATATATATATATATATATATATATATATATATATATATATATATATATATATATATATAAGAGAGAGAGAGAGAGAGAGAGAGAGAGCTAATGTGGACCTTCCTTTTTATATTCTACAGCATAAAAACAGTTTCCCACAACTGATTACTTTCCTATAGTTATGCAACTGCTGCTCTATGTTTTCCCAGACCCATAATTGTCACTCCTCGCCACAGCATCTGCTGTTCTTCAAAAATGGGTTTTATTTAGTTCTGCAGAGACAGCTCAGGGGCTGTTTTTGTGATGATGTCTGTTTCATTCTCTGATGTCCAGGTATTTTATCCAAAAAAGTCACCTGTGTCCAAAAAACTATCGAGACTATCATTGTTTTATTGGACAGAGAAAGCAAAAGACAGACTAGGGAGACTGGTAAGCAACAAAGCAGTAAGCAGCAAAGGACGTATAATGCACTCAGTATGGGGCACAGTTCAGGCACATCAGGGGCTAAACAACCTCCACCTTTAGAAATATAAGGTTGGTCTGAAGTGTCTCCAGAGGAACTGTTTGGCCTCTCGTGTTCAGACCCCAGTGTGCTGGTGCTATTTATGTGATAACTGCCATGATTAAATTTGTACCAATCATGATTTAATGCTCATCTATTTGAGGCTCCTTTGTACAAAAGTTTAGGACCTTGTGTGCTATATTATCAGCTCCTGCATATTTTCAGAGCTTGGCAGTGGGTGAAGCTAAATGAACAAATATATTTGGTGTGTCCCAGTAAACATTTTCCCCTGTGTTTAATGGTCAGAGGGAACAGCAAGAGCTGTGTAGGTGGCCTTCAGAGAAGCTCACTGCTACATAAACGCTTGTGGTGAAAGGTGTTTATCCCCATCTCCAGCCAACGTGTGTTCAGACGTCCTCACAGCAGCTTAAATGTGTTGGTTGCATGGCCAATTTCACCTTCTTGAGAACTTGTGGTGAGCGTGTGTGTGTGGGTAACATATCTAACACAAACATGAGGTGAAAAAGCCACTGGAAATTAGAGGAGATTGGAGCGCTGAGGCCCCTCTCCCTCCTGTCTGAAAGTGTCTTTTGTTTGTTGTATGGAAAAGGTAAATGCTGGTCTGAAACCTAAACATACATACACATATCATTTCACATACTAAACCATAGCATTTTAAAAAGCAGGCTACTGAGAGGAGGTGCAATTTGTAATCTCAATGAATGCACTCTGGAAATGAACCACAAACATTAGAGGAGACATTAATGTCCTCTGACAGTCCTCCAAGTGGTTTTCCTTGAATTACTTACATTTAAATGTTTCCTTTACTTCAATTAATATTTAAAAAAAAAAAATCTTAGCTTGATCCTTCAGTGTAAATGAGACACAGAAGTATTGATATCAGCCTCTTATGAAGTTGCTGAATCAGCTTTATAATGGTGCCGGACTGTGTGCAGGATGTCAGCTCCACAGAGCAACAAGTGGCTGCGCTTAATCCAAAGAGATTAAAATGGACTGCAACAACACTAAGGTATGCCACCCTCTGACTCAGTGAGAAAACAGCAACAATACACTGCAAAATTCACAGTGTATATTGTACACTATAAGTGTACATTTAACTCCAGTTTCTATGTATATAGGTCCAAGAGTTTGGTGTTCACTGAACACCGACAACAGTGTAAAATATATACTCAAAATAAAGAGTTAGACTTGAACCCTCTGAGTGTGCAATTGTACTCCGTCAATTGGTGCTTTTTAAAACTTGCAGTGTAAACCTAGAACTCCCAGAGAGAAAAAGATATACTCTCAAGTAATTTATAGTACTTTGCAGAGCTGATTATTTAACACTCTGAGAGTGAGAATGTACTCTATGACTGGTGTACACCCAACACTTTTGAGGTTAATTATTAAACACTTCAGGAATATATGGTCCACACAAGAGTTTCTTATATATAAAATATAACATCTTTATTATTATTATTGCTATAATAATTATTACCACAGATTCTAACAAGTATATTGTCTTAATGTTACTGAAGTTAACAGTCAACTCTTGTTAGAAGGACATACACATGTCTTAAGTTATGGAGCCATGGTGCAAAAAAAACCTGGACATTTTTGCAAAAATAATTGCCAAGATGAAAAAAAGCATGTTACCACTACAGTGACACATTTCTTATACAAAAACATGCACAGGCACCACATACTGATCATTTCTGTCAAAACCATACGTTGTCTGCAGATCAAATGGCTTAAACAGGAGCAACTCATCAACTTTCAGCATGGATACATTCTCAGGATTTCCCTGTCTGACATGAAAAGAATGAAAATGCTCTACAAAACTAAGTGTCTCAAAATCTTCTGCTACAAGAAAACAGTGTCCATCAAATGAAACAATGTCTTTTATCTGACTAAGTACTGGGAAATCCTCCTCTATGTTTGAACAAACCAGAATGCCTGGGCGATACTCTGTCCCAAAACAAGTGATCCAAGATGTCACACCAACTTCACAGTCCAAGTCAACCTGCTGTTCTTCAGCAATTATTTCACCATTTGCCAAGGCATTAAGCTGAACAGTTTTTACTGGACCACAGTTAATACTTTCAAATGGCATTGATTCCCAGTGGTATGCCACAGCCATCTGATGTTTTTTAGCTCATGACTTCGTTATATTTTTGAATTGTTGATTGTGTTCTTAAAAAACCTGTGTTTGGCTTCGAACCTCATTGCCCAAACATGAAGAATTGGACCTATTTTTCGAATGGATCTGGGGTAATGAATCATGAAGTGATGTTTGCGATGTGAATAAAGCTCTTTGAAAGTTTATGATGTTCAAGAATGAGATGCCTCAGACATACTGTCATACCATCAGTAATGATGGGAGAAAATGTGATGTTCATGATTTGCAGCAGAAGCAGCAAGAGTCTCCAATGTGCATTTCCTTCTTGTACAACATCTCCAAATATCAAGGGCACATTCAAGCAAAGTGTCTGAATGGCACTGAGACCAATTCCATTTCCAGTCTGCTCCAAGTTTACTCTGGTTGCTCGATTTTTTCTCTCAACAAAGCCATAATTGTATGAATATATCCTGCTACAAATATCTGTCTTGGATATGATGTTGTTGTCTGAGAGGTAACCAAAAAGCAACTTTAGCTCAAACTGCCCAACTCCTTCCAATATATCACGCATAATGTCTACAGCATAGTTATCAGAAACATCAAAGTACTGTAGATCATTGAGTAAACATGTTCGCTTCACTCCAAATGTTGATGGCAGTGTAGGATCTGCTTTCAAGTCATTGCAATGCTGAGCATGCAGTACTTTATTGCAGAGTGTTATTCTTGGATCATCATCACTGAAAACTGTCTGTGAGGTTTGTTTGTCTACCAGACAAAAGCGGCAAAAATAGTTTGAACTGAATGATTATACATACCCAAGTAGTGAGTGCAATCCCAAATTGTCCCCAGTCACCTGTGCAATTGTTCCACAAACTGCTTCATCAGAGAAAGGAACTTCAACTCCTGTACACTCAAGCACTTTCAGATCTTGTACGAGGGGTTCTAAGATAACATTAAATCCATACTTCTTTACATCCTCTGTATGAAAAAGTGCCAAAAGATTAATATTCATAAGTGCTGAGTTTATCTTTGGAGACAGATTTTGTAAAATAAAGTATATACTTCCAATCTTATGGATGCCATGTCTGGATCCTAGTGGATTTGCCACTTCAAAATCATCATAGAATATCTGTATTTGGAGAGAGTTTGGTTTTTTAGAGAAGAGAGAGTGACCTTTAAAATAGCTCCCATCACAGAAATCTTTATAAAACCCAGTCTTCTCACAAGGCTGCAAAATATGATTTAAAATCTCCCTGTTGTTGAATATAAACTTCAGCGTTTCCAATAGAGGAATGTACACAAATTTGTCTGCCACAGGAACATGATCGTATGTGCCAGTGGTTCGATTCCTTCTGGTGTCATACCTCACCCCTAGAGCGACCTCAACAGGTTCTACAAGACCCCATTTCTCATTGAAATGTTTTTTCCATTTTGTCTCAGTGTTCAGTTTGCTAAATGGATTGTCAAGGCTTTCAAAATAATCATCAACTTTTGTAATAATGTCCTCAACATTGGGGAGTAATTTTACAACATCATCTTTAACATTTAGAAGAAGAAGAATAGAATAGAATAGAATATTCCTTTATTGATCCCCCATGGGGGAAATTTTTTTGTCACAGCAGCATCACAGACAAAGAGTGCAAAAATGCAGTTATAAAAATAAAGATCCTAATATTAAGAACTTAAATAAATGTAATAATTAAGAAAAAAATTAGAAAAAGGAAAAAGGGAGAAGAAAAATAAAACTATCTACAATATACACAATTTAAATGCCAGAAAAAAGTGGTGGTGTAAATCCAGTTATTATTACAGTTCATTGTAAAGTCTTATTGCAGAGGGCAGGAATGACCTGCGGTAGTGCTCCGTCCGAATGCAGTTCCTCTATAAGCTCCTCCATACTTTCAACAACAGTCATCATGACATTAGTAGCCACACCAGAGCTTTGGAGTTTTGCAATAAGGGAAGCACACATTTATTGGGTATGTTGTTGCCTAGTCTCATTACAGCTTTGAGAATTCACTGGTTGCTCTGAAATTAAAGCTGACATTGTTTGCTGATCAGATACAACAACTGAAGGAGTGACAGATTCATTATCAATTTGAACTAGACTTTCAGGACTATGCTTATAATGGAGATGTTTCCTGAAGCCTGAAAAAGTGCAAAATCTCTGGCGGCATCCATTCTGGCCACACACCAAATGAAACTTCTTGCCGGGAAAAAAGGCATGTGTAAGTTTGAGATGACGAAGCAACTGCTGGATGGTGACAAAAGTAGACTGGCAAACAAAGCATTTGTACATCGCAACTTCAGTTGAGGAGCTTTGCCCTAAGGTCCTTGACTCTGGGAGTTTCATGAGAAAGCCCTACATCAATATTGCAAATGGTGGTTTGCACAAACGTGAACATGCTGTTTAGGGCCTGGTCATAGGAGATACCAAACACATAATGTGTCTTGAAAAGTTCATCAAAGGCTGACAGGGAAGACTTGGCCTTGCAAGGATGGAGCTCACCATCCATCGCAATGTAGTAGTCATGGATGTTGTTCCTTGTCATGCCAACTGCCAGGGTGTAGGGTAGCCTCCGCTGGGCTGGACCAGAGTGCTCCTGAAGGCTGCGACCCGCCTGCAAGATAACAATCAAAAGTATAACTACGCTATACATCATTTTTTATGGATAAGTCAGACAGAAATCTGATAGCACAGTTAGAGAATCACTTCAAAAGGAAAAAGAAAAAAGAATAAATCAAAATTTTAATTAAAGATGTAAATGAATTTGTTAATTGCTATTTATATTATAAAAATGTGTTTATATGTATTGCTATTTATAAAGTACCGCAATTATAAAAATGTGTTTATATTTATTGCCAACAGATTAAGTAAACCCTTAACTATATTCTTAGATCCGGATATTTGCTGACTGAAATTTACTTTATCCAGTATGTTGTCATGCTACCCCATCTTGTGACTCTCTCTCCCTGTGAGAAAATCTACTTGGGAAAGTCCCTTTGTATCAAGAGAAATGATAATTGGTCATAACATTAATTTGTTTTTGGAGTGTGGATTCCACTCGTTGATATTGGATTGTTTCAAAATGGAAATCAGGATACACCAACCTTATGAAACTTCACTACACAATCCACAGCTTCCTGGATACTGATCTCCATGGCTCCCTTCTTTCCACTTGGTGGCAGGAGGTAGACCAGCAGGAGGATTGAGGCCATGTCACTATCCCAACCTGAGAAGAGGGGAGGAGAAACTCTAATTTCAGCATGAGATGCACCTGACAAATCAATATAAACATTCATAAGGCTCTTGTCAATAAAAGTGCTATTAGCACAACCATATCACAGTAAATACAATAAGACAACATCTGAAATGGTGGGCAGATATACACAGGGAATTCATTTATGTCACTTACCTGGGACCTCGTCATCCTCATCAGGGTTCTTGTCTGCCGACTGAATGAGATAGTCAAGCTGGGGTGTCTTACTGAGGTTTTTGGCTTGCTCGATTATTTTCGCCTTCAGGAGTGTTCCCCACTTCTCCAAGAATTTTGATGAAGTCTCTGCTCCAAACAACAGCTCAAAGTAGAGCCTAAAGGAGAAGAAGCAAGTGCAGGTGTACTTGATGATGGTGGCAATGGAAGGAAGTTACTATTTTAATCTTTACAAAGCTGTTATTGATGAAAAAAAAAACATTAACATAATTCACATGAACTTACAAGGCCTTTTGTGTCAAGGAACCTTGGGAAAACTGTAAGCACTGTGCTGCATCGCTCAGGATCATGGATCAACTTTTGTCTGTGTTGGAAGGTTGTTCTCATTCTTGTGAAGATCTGAGGCCTGGGGCCTGTTCTACGAAGCAGGATTACTGCTTAGCGAGGTAACTTCGAGGGTAAGTTCGGGGTTTCCTGTTCTACGACGCGGGTTCACTTCTTAGCGAGGCGAGTCTCCATAGCAACATACGCTGAACGGCTAACCTGCTCCGGGGCAGGTTAAGTTCCAGATTGAACTCACCGAGCATAAAAACCCCACCCACTGACCAATGAGCTCTCTCGAAAAACGGCTTGTCCGTTCTTGGAGGATCCTGTAAACCTCGGTGCTCGCATTGTCCGAGGAGGAGCACTCCGGCGCGCGAGAGTTTACAGGGACCGCACGGACCCATGTACTTTTCCGGATGACCACCTTTATGAAAGGCTCATATGGCCTACATATCACACAAAAAATGTAAACACGATAGGAATGAACAAATGAATGATTCATCTTGGAAATGAATGGGCATGAGCTGCATGGGCTGTGTGATCACAGACAACATCTCGGTACTATTAGTAGCAGCACATGCCCCTTATAATAACCCCCGTAAATACTGTTGTTCAGGACTGCTTACTTGTGTTTCCTACCTACTGTAACAACCGTTGTTCTTCCCCACATGCAACATTTTTGTTCTCATTCATGAAACGCTTAAATCGGGGACAGATCATCCAATTCAGGGACTGTCACCTTCGTTAAAAGCGCATGTTGAACAGTGCTATTTCAGGGTGATAATGGCATCAAAGATGCATTTTCTGCCAGCATTCACTCCGTGCTTTTGCAGCGGCGACGGTGTTGCTTTTGAGGTTTATGGTAGCTTTGAATTCTTCATACTTTCTCATGATTGTCTCCTGCTCCTCGTTTGTAAAGTCTGCGGTCTTTCACTCTCCAGCCTGCTCTGACGCTCCAGACTGATCCATGTTCGCGATTGGTTAGATGCGGCGGACTCCGCCTTATATGTGTGCACGCGCTCATAGCAAAGCTGGATCCACTTATGAGGTTGATAAACAGCGTCGTAAAACCGTGTAGCGAGACCGCTGGCTACCGCGCTAAGTTGAGCGAGGTAGCTCCAAGACTACCTCGCTAGGTTGAACTTGCTTCATAGAACAGGCCCCTGTACTACAAAGCTGGATTAACACATCCAGGATAACTCTGCGACAACTTGCTCAACTTCACTGGATCTCCGCGATCCCGATCAGCTGTACTACGAAGCCGGTTATCAACTCGATAACTTAATCCAGGTGTGGCCTCTTCAGATCTGTGCGCGCACACGTAAAGGGGGTGGGGTCAGTTCCACCGGACCAATCTCCACAATGGAGAAGGCTGCACGTCATTTTTCACAGCCGAAGAACAGAGCATTATTTTACGAGGAGTACCGAAACATTATAACAGTGAGGAGCAGGACAGCCACAGCCGCTAAAAACTGGAGGGACTGCTGGCAAAAAAAAAAAAAAATGAAATAATATAAAAATAATAATATGTTGTCATGCAGCGTGTGTGATCACCTCCATCAATGACCTCATTATTTCAGATACAACAGCAGTGGGGAAAAGATTATATGGGAGCAAATAAAAGTAAATCTAAAAACATCCTTTTAAGTAGTTTGTAAGTTTATTGGAAGATTTTATTTGTACATATTTCAACACGTAAACAGTGATTTCCTCACACTGCCTTTTTTTTTTCTTCATCATCTGATGGTCACATGTCATCTGCAGATACATTTGGGGTTAAGAGGAGTTTTCCAATCTGCTTCAATAAATTCTGAATGATGACTGATATGCTGCATGAAATTGGAACCTGGAGCTTGGCAAATATCAGTGCATTGCTTAGACTTGAACGATCGTGAATAAACGCGAAGCGCTCTTCTCACTATCCGTGCAACGATGTCCCCGGGATCTGGCAAAAGTGGGCAAGCCATTTTCCAAGAGATCCGATTGGTCACTGGGCGGTCTTTTATACCTGCTGAGCTCTTATCCTGAAACATAACCCTCTCCGGAGCAGGTTTGGCGTTCCGCGTAAGTTACCGGGGCAACGGACCCGGATAAAAAGAGATCCACCTTTGTTGTACGTAAAACCTAGAAGTTATCTCGCTAAGACCAAATCCAGCTTCGTAGTACAGACCTCTGTTCTTTGTCGGTGCTGTGTTTCAGTAGAGATATGGCCTCGCAGCACTGGTCTCCCTCCAGCTGTTGCTCTTTAGTTACTTCCCTCTCCAACTCCGGTCCACTGCTGTCTGAACTCTGAGACCTCCTTCTCCGAACTCCACTGTTACTGCTGCTGCTGAGTTCTCGCTGTGTGTTTTTGAGCTTCCAAGCAATGTAGCCCTTGTTGCTATCTGCATCATAGAAATGCTCCTAAAAACAATGTTGATAAAAAAATTAAGAAATTTAAGCATGATCAGACACATAGTGAAAGGAACTATAAGATAGAAAATGCATCAAAACATTATTCATTTATCAACAAACTTTACAAACAAAATATTATGCTTAACACAGTACTGAATTGACTTCCATTTTGAAGAATGTTAATTGCCCCCCTTGCTGCCTCTACAAGAAAAACCTGTCTCTATTGCTCCTATGAAACAACAATATTTTTATTATCATAATTTGAAAAAGGTTGGTTAACTTCTCTTTAAAATATATACTCACATAGCCCATTTTCGAGTAGGGATCTTTTAGAAAAGGGAACAGTGTCACAATCCCCAATGCATATTGTGTTCTTTTGTCCTTTGGCGGAGCTCTTCTGTGGGAGTAAACGATAGTTGCATTGACAGGGAAAAAGGCTGTATGACAATTTACAATGGGGACCCTAGACATGTCAACTCAAATAAACTACTAAGCAATATTCAAGTTGCATGGCTGTGTGTGTCTTGCAGATTGGTAATGATTAGTTTAGATTAGAATATTGATATTTTCATGGCATTACTTAGCCATAAGGTGCAAGGCCACACTTTACTGGCCATTGTTGTCCTTTGCTGATAATCTCATTTGATTACAACCACCTGTTTTTTTATGAACAATCAAATACTATGAATATACTCGACTGAATCGTGCACGATGAAGCATTTGACTTACCCATACTTTTCCAACATATCAGTGACAACAATGTTGACAAGTTCACGGTGTTTGATCCTTCATCTCTCCTTTTGTTGCATATTCTTTAAGTATTTTCTCCCCTCCGGGCTTTTGTTCCAGAACTCTCTTGACAAGCTTAAAAACAAATAAAAATAAGCCAAACAAAAAATGTTGATGTCAAAAACACATCTATAACATGGCAAAAGAATGAACAAAAAAAAAACTCACCTCTTTGGCCTGTGAAGAACCGTCATCAATATGCTGACTTTTTTGGGTCTTTGGAATGCCATCATCAATGCATGGTCTTTTTGGAGACGTCAGAAAGATGTCATCAATGTTGTGTCTTTTCAGAGACATCAGAAAAGTATCACTCTCTGATGAGCGTGATGATAGTGACAAGGTGTCTGTGCATGAAGATGCAGCAGAGTCTGAAAAGAGGGAGCACATCATTTTCAAAAACATGTTTTACTGATGATTTCATTAATTGACCCACAGTTTCAATTAAGAGTAGGTGAGAGCATGGGATGGTAAAACTGTGCATCTGCTTTTGTTTTTTAATACCAGTAATAGGCTACAATCAGTTGTGGTTGATACGGCCACATATTAAGCAATTTAGTCCATGACAGTTGGTAACTGAGTGCTCAGGTCAGTATTCTAGTTGACATGTTTCATAGGTAAATGGATTGGTTCTGAAAACAATGAAAAACAAATTCTAACTTATTGAAAAAATTTAATTTAAACAGGATATTGCTGAGAACCAGTAGTTTTTGTGTTGTAATACTGTAACCTTGCAAAGTACAATTTGATCAAATGACCACTTACCATCAGTGACTGAAAGAGTGTCAACAACGGTCCACAGGATGTCGTTTTTTTCCTCCAGAATGTCACTGAAGACCTTTTCATCGACCTCTGTTCCAGTGTCATCCAGCACATATGTATCTGTTTCAGTGGGTATACTGAACTTCATTTTAGATTTGAATACAGAAAAAAAAATTAAATGAAGCTCGGGGTGCATTATTGTTCATCTCACTACCACATACACAGGACAAAGTGGTTAATAAAGTTTTTAGTTTTTCTATCTTAATGGGCCACACTGTAGACTAGCATGATGTCAGAAAGAAAAGAAATCAGTTTTCAGAGTTGATTCCGGTACTGAGGAAATATGATTAAAGTGAAAGCAAAATATGTCTTTAAAACCCTTACTGTGTCCAGCTGCAAGTACATCTCTTTGAGTTAGGAATGGCTCTTCATTGCCCAATGACACAATCTACCTATCGTTTAGGCTACAAAAAGCAGAGACATTAACTTACCCTCCTTGAGAAAGTCAGAGTGTAAGGCTCCATTTAGTTTGATGTACTTCTTCTTTCCTTTGTATTGCACTTTGAACACTACTACCACACAACCATACAATTAGTTTAATGTCAGTGGACACAGTGCAAAGTCAGGCTTTGTCCACGATTTATTTCTTTTCTGCAACTGGACGCCGTCAACCGGGAGAAATGGTGGACAAACCTATCAACTAAGAAAAGGAAATTCAGTCCGAGCAAAGCGCTGGACCATTGGACCCACACCCGGCCGTCGCTGGCGACAAGGGCCAGGAGGGCTTCGCCATGATGAGGACGGCTAGCCTCTAGTGGAGCTGCCACAGTGCTGACCTCTTCCAATAATGTAAAATAATATTTCATTTTCTCTGCTAGCAAGTGTGTATCTTGCACAGTTACCCACTAGCAGCTAATTTTTGGGCGGGAGTCGGAAGCTTTGAAGTAACATTAGCTTCGGTAACGCTAGCCACCGAGGGAGGGGGGGATTAGCTAACTTTACTTCTGTGTTTTATTTGTCAAATAAGCTGCTTTACCATAGCTTATATTACAAACACAATATCAATTCTGATAAATTAAACATTTGTAGTGACTTTACAACTGATATAGCAAGTTAGCCAAACTAAATTGAAACCGTGTTTGCCTATTAACGTTAGCGTTTTTAGTTATTTACGATAAATTACTTTTGAGGACTGAAATACTTGATATTTCGCGTTATTTATTCACTTCATAGTTTCTTACCTGCCGCCCGCGAGCTGTCTGGCAGTTGTCAGTTCGCGCTGTTGATGCACTCCAGGAGAGCTCAGAACATGACTGGATTCAACCAATGAGAGGGCTTGAAGAGCTGATGATGAAATCGAAACCGAACTCTCGGTGTGGCCGGGAAAGACTCAATCAAGCAATAGACTCTGTGGGAGTCCATCATTGTAAAATAAACACTACAATAACTCTGCACTAACACTATTCATAGAGGAACACCACGGAGAGATTATGGTGCAACCTGAGAAGTGTACTTTGTGCCCATTTGACACCAAAGTGTAAAATCTTTATCGAAACTCTGGGATTTTAACTCTCTGGCATTTGCTGTGTACTGTGCAGAGGTTTGGGGCAATATTTACAAATGTACAATAAAATCACTATCTATACTGCAGAAAAGATCTGTAAGAATAATTCATAAAACCTGTTATAGATATCACACAAATTCACTTTTCTTCAAACCAAAAATGTAAAAACCACTGACCCGAATTACTTTCAAACAACAATCAACAACCTACTGCCTGGATACATTTTTTTTTTTTTTTTTTTTTACAGAGCTGGGGGTTATTATCTGTGGAGGGGAACCAGCAGGCACACACAACTATAAAAAAGTTTTTGTGTTTCTCTTTGTTGGAGTAAGGGTTGTGGAACAGATTGGGTGTGGAGCTTACCAGGTACAGGGAGGAAGGAGGACTTTAACAATCCACTGTTTTCATAAATAATTTATACACTTGTTAATTTAATCTATTTATTTTCTATTTTTTGTAAATATGTAAAGTGTGAATATGTAGGTTGGAGAGACTAATTGTATAATGAGTTGTGGAGAGGGGGTTGGTTGAAATAAGCAGATTGCTTCACCCTACTCCTTTTCTGACATGTTGGTTCACATTATCATTATTTTTTTGCTTTGACTATTGTTATTGTTGTTTTGACATATTTATTTGTTTGTTTTCTGTTTACTTTATCATGTTACACACATGCTCGAAATAAAGCATTTAAAGAAAAAAAAAAAACTGACCCTCTCTCTGGGCCTATACATTTACTTGAGTCCTTCCATAGAGAGGAGGAGGAAGCAGACTGAAACAGGACACCAGGAAGTTTATGGGCTCATTATCAATTAACAATGATCTACTCATAATCCCAGTGAAAAAGACAGGTCTACCCTCAGTGCCACATGGAGAGCTGTTAACATACAGTATATCTTTCTGATTTGATGGTAGGAGGTACTCCTTACACAAGCAGATTCAGATGTTGGCGTGACACAGCATCCTGTGATCACAGATCAGCCCTGAGGCCAACCTCAACAGTCCTTGTGTTTCTATCTGAATTCAGACTGATTAAATGACTGCTGCTTCATCAGCTCTGTCAACTCGCTGCTGAGTCTCCAGATCACTTTCACACCCCAACACCGATCTCAGGCCAGTGCCTCGTTTGACATCCCATGTTTGACAGCACAAAAGCTGTTTTAACTCAAAATATTTGCTCAGTATTTCAGAGACAGATGTGCTCATATTCCCATAGATTTGATTTCATGCAACTTGAAATAAAAGCCTGCCTCTGCTCATAAAACGCACTTGCAGACTGAGTCTGCTGTGGCTGCGTTATTTTGCACATGGAAGGAGGGATACATTTCAGATTGTTATCAAGAATTGTCCAAAGACTACACATGCCTGCACTGCTACACTGGGGTCTTGGCATGCTGGTATATTTGCACAGCATCCTCATCCGCACTGACAGACCTGTGGACTCTGTCACACTGTTACACTTTGGTTGCTTGAATGCCAGTAAAAATGTTGTACTCATGTCTTCTTGTGCATGCTGGTTTGGCACAGTGAGTTCATCTGGAACTCAGACAGGTTTTGGTGCATAGACTTAAGGAATTGTTAGGCTGTTATACTAAAGCATGCTCTACTAAGGAGAGAGAGGGTGAGACAGAGACAAGCTGATGGTAACGGAGCATAAGAGTCAGTCATTGTTAGGCCAGTACAGCATCATATCTGTCAAAAACAAAGGGCCCCACAGTTATGTACGATGTTCAACAACCCTGTTTCTATTAGTGTTTATAATCAGACATCATCAGTCCAAGGGTGATGACCATTTATGTGGGACTTGTGCCCACCAATGGGGTTTTCATGTGCTGACAGCAGCTATATTCAAAGACAGAAACACCTTTGACATTAGCTGTTTGGTACAAAAACTACTGACCAATCAGAACTAAAATGGAGCAGAGGTCTGTATGAGAAACACACACATTTGTTCATGCATACAGTTGATTTTTTTTTTTTTTTAATTTCTTTGGAAAATTCAGTTTAATAGATCCAAACATGAAGCATACAGAGCAATTTCAAAAACAGTACATGTTGCTGAGGTGAGTGAGAGTGGGAGTGAAAGGTTAAGTGTGTAGAGACACTTAGACACTTATATTCAACAGTATCTATAGCTTAGGTTTTAGGTTTAGATGCAGCCTTGCTCGCCCTGACCTCCTCTCCAGAGGTCAGGTTTCATTCATCTCCTCTCCACCAAACCCACCAAAATATTTTTGTCTTTTTCATACCTAAACACCTATGCTTTATTCATATGACAGCCACTGAAGGATGCTAACTGCTCATGAAGATGTTCTTGAACCATAAGTAAAGTTATAATATTGGAGGTCCCATCTGAAAAAAAAAACCACACACCTGTGTTTTAGTATGTTACATTATTAATGCAGTGCTTCAAGGTCTCCACTGGACAAAGCAGTTCATTTGACATTGCTGCAGTGCAGAAGCCTTAAAACTTCAGGATGATACTGCACTGGTCATCTGACAGGTATGTTTTCAGAAAGGCTGTGGGCAAAGGGATTATGATTATTAAGAGGAGACTTTAGATACAAGCTTCTCAATGACTACCAATTGGCAGGATATTCTGGGAGCTATGTAATTTCCTACTCAAAGTGTCAGAGAGGTGGAGCTTCTGTTAAGATCATCTGAAAGCTAAAATAATAGATAGATAGATCTAGATAAATTGATAGATAGATAGATAGATAAATAATAAACCTGAGCCACCTGTCATCACAAAGTGTGGAGCCAGAGTTAAAGAAGTGTTAGTAGAGAGATCAGATCAACAGTCTCTCTGATATGAAGCGGTCTTTATTAGATCTTTGTTAGATAAGAAAAGGTTATCCCCTCCAGTTATCTTTGAAGTTTAATTCTTTGTTGCATTGTGTTAAGCCACAGCAAAGACAATTTTCTGTGATGGCAGACAACCAAGTTTTCTGAATCTGAATCTGAACTTAAACTCAGGTGAAAGGACAGCTTGGACTCTACATTTATAATAATTCTACAAAAGCAGGAATCAAGAACAGATATGACCAAAATGAGATTTTTTTCTCTAGTGTCTTCAGGCACCAAGTAAAGGATTCTGGGAGAGATTATCCTTTTAGGAGATACTCAGGAATTTAAAGATGTGAGGATATGCCAGAGTTAAACTAAAGAATCCAATCCGCGTGTTCAGAGAAACACTGAGCAAAAAGCTGAAATCCTAAAGAGAAGGATAGTGCAGAGCTTCTCTGTGTTTGACCAAAAACTGCCTCTTTGAGGAAATATTTGTCTCCAGGAAACAAAATCTCACAAATCCGTGCCAGCAGTCAGACACAGACTGAAGGGTCCTAGCAATGAGCCGTGACGGCTGAAATCCAAGAATCTGTTTAACAGCAAATAAAAGCATTGCTCCTGAGGAGGTCTGGACTCTGGACTATTTCAATCAAAGCAGACACTCAAGTTTCTGATGTGGTTACAAACTTGTCTTTACAGGAGCTCTGCAGAGAAGACTGTCTGTGTCCCAGGAGGAAGATTAGGGTTAGATGTTGCAGCTGAAATAACTCTTAGTTGAGATCACCATCACAGAGCTGTTC